CATGGCAGGAAAAAGGAAGAAAACAGTCCAATGCTAGTGGCTGCAATTGACACACGTCTGGAAGGGAGCTAGGTAGGTATTGATGTACCACAGTAGAGCAGAAGAGAGATGGGAGACACTTGGATACATCGGTACCATAAGACGCTGATCAGGGTTCTCCGTATCCAACACGGTGCCTCGTGGTCAGCCGGGTTTGGTAGGTACATCGTCCGCCGTAGCCCATGGCGGGACTCTTCTGTACCTCGGGCCACTCGAAGAAAGCCGGGAAGAGCAGGTACCGAAGTTTCTCGTCTTTTGTGGATGCAGATGAGTTGTATTGATCTGTAGGTGGCACCAAGACAGCAAGGCGTCCAGACTCCAGTGCGTGTACTTGCATATGTGGGAGGTAGGGGTTTCCACATCGTAGCCAATCCAGCGCAAGTTAAGCAGCCCGTAGTGCAATGGAAATGATGAACGAGGTATCATCGAAGCGGCGAGATGAGGTCAGTCCAGCTGTTGTTCATCGTCAGTCTGCGGTTCGTATATCTAACTAGACTCTGGAGGAAACCGCCTTGGAAATTGACGAGACCTTGATGCTTGGGTTGCTTGAGTTGCTTGGATCGGCTGGCGCATGGTGAGAATGTACGTGTGGCCTGGTGATGAACGGAGTTCCCTCGCTGTGCCATTGAGAATCCGAAGACAGGCCACAAGTCGGGATAGGTATGGAGGCCGTCGTGAAAGCTAAGGCTAGGTAAAATGAAGGGTTCTGGAGGCTGAAGCACCCGCTCATTCCAATCATTGCTGCGTCGGTGGCCGATGGAGCCATGGCCGAATGGCATGCATCTTCTTCTTGTTTCTGCTGCATGAGGCCCGTTTCTGTTCGCATGTTGCAGGTTGCAGACGACTCTGCATCAGCATCAGCGCGTCGGGTATCTGATGGGCCAGCCGACGCTCAATGGTGGGCTTCCGTGCTCAATTGTTGCTCATCTCTGATTCGACATGCGGCAGCGGTTTATTGTCCAACATACGTTTCTCGTCCAGCGTTGAAACCTAGGGCGAAGGATCCTGGAATAAGAGACTCAAAGTATGTCGACAGCCATGGGAACAAGGTGTTCAATGTTGTTCGATATAGTGCCTGGGATGGTGCAAGTACAGCAGCGGCTGAAGCCCGACAGGTCGAGAGGCGCCGACCAGCAGAACTGAAATGGTAGACGGGGAGTTGTATTGAGAGAACATGTCGTCAGGTAAGCAGAATCAGTCGATCGATTTGCGAGCCCGCGGATGCTGGTGGTCTGGCGGTGCTGGTGGATTGGAAGCTGGGGGAGCAAGGGCGTTGTCGCGAGAGACGCCGTGAGTGGCTGGCGAAAATGGCGGCACCCTGCCTCTTGCACGCTAGCGCTGCTGCGTCAAGCTGCAACGCAAGTGCAAGTGCAAGTGCAAGGGCAACTGCGAATGGATAGCGACGGAGTAGCTGCTTGGAAATGTGCAGGTGCAGCTAGGTAGCTATCCAATTCCAAGGGAACTCGGGAGGGCCTATCTGGGGCCTGGAGGTCGAGGTGCAGCAGGACAGGGCCGAGTGCATGAGCGGATGCAAGGCAGTTCGTAGTTGTGTCGTGGATCGTGTGCTAAGGTATTCGTAAGGCACGACTCAGAAGAAGCACATTATCACACCTCTACGCAGTGGTGTAAGTGGTGCACCCTGCTTGTTGTCTGCTAAGGTGCTATGTGATCTGGTGTATGATTTGGTGTTTAGTGTTTGAGACAAGAAGCAACGTGAGGTTGAGTTCCCCGTCCTCGGGCTGTGGAAAGGCACGTACGTACCTCACATGGTGGAGATACCTACCATCGATGATTGGGTGACTGTGCCACCATAGTAGATCCTACCAAGCACAGTGCGGCGGGTTCCACTCTGTCGTTCCGTGGTGCAGTCGCAGGAAGGTACGGAGCAAGGAGTATCGACTACCTGCTTCTCATGTTCGTGACTTCCTTCATAATGGCAAATGCTGCCTTCCCATTACCTATCACTTTATTTCCATTCACCTCCACGGACAATAGGTACCCGAGAGAATGGAAGGCACGATGAACACCCGACATCCTTATCTTAGGTCCACTCACATAATGAGGTAAGGTACAGTATCAATAGAAATGTCAAGACTCGAAAGCAATTCAGGTCCAGGACCCAAGCCTGACGTTTATTCGGCGCTGGACAAGTATACCATGTACTCCGTGCTCTATGCCTGCACAGTAGGTAGGTTCCTTGCCTAAGGTACCTACTTGCCTTTGAAGCGTGGCCTGCAACGGCAAGACCCCTGTTGCCTTGGTTCTCGGGCCAAACTTCTTGCCTTGTTCGCATGTCTTCGGTGGCTCCAGATGTCCGAGAGGGTCGTCTCTTCTTTTTCGAGAATCAACGCTCACCGGCGGCCGCAACATTGACGACCATCCTTTCGCATCGCATCCACCCACGCCGTCGCCGCATTCCCAAAGCTCGTGATCGAATCACGGCCAGCTGTCATGTCACTCCATCCTAAGCCCGTTTCCTCGTTTCGAGCCCTGGGCACAGACTCCACCTTGTCACACTCCAAGACTCCAATCTGAGGTGGAGATTCGTTCCCTCACCGAATCACCCACAAACCCAAGCATCAAACTTCTCCACGCCAGACTCCACCACCACCACTCGTCGCCACTGTCACACTCTCCGTCACAACCACCACCAGTTCTTCAGCACAAGCGGTTTTGCCCCTCCATCCGCCAGATGAGCACATCCTGACATGGCCCAACCTCCTGCTCAGTCCACTGGAAGGCCATAGCTCGGCCCAGCCATCGACTTTGACAGCAATATCTCCGATACGGCTATCGGTACACTACGGGAAACGGGAAGCCCAGATACACACGGATCCTAACTATGGACCCGTCTCGGCTACGACGAGTGGGTTTCTCTGACTTCCAACCCTGCCAGGCAGCCGACCCGACTTCATATCTCGCCGCGGCCGCCGCCGCCACTGGGGGTTCATAATGCATGAACGCCTGTGCAAGCTATGGTCAGCATGCTCCGAAGTGCAAACAACACCGGTAGTTCCAGGGCAACTCCTCAGAACCAAAGCGACACTCGCACATCGTAGTAGCGTACGGATACAAAGATGAGACAAGAAATGATACGGCTGCACCGTAACCTTTTCCCACTATCGCCGTCTGCTCTATATCTCTCCATCTCTGTCATATTGACTCATTGACTTGGGTGACGGCGCTCTGTAGGCTCAATGCTCACTGGATCGGCCGCTGTACCCGATCAAAGTTGTCAGCAGCCTGCGCCGTCCTCTTAGGTTCCGAGGCCGGCGGCGGCCTCTTACTACAATCGTATTATTTACTTCCTGCGCACACAATGACGGCTTTGCCTCGCTATCAATGGGCAGTCCAGAAACGCGAGACACTGATGCCACTTGTCTCCGCTCGACTGCAGATGTCCATATATGCCCGCCGCCCGTTGTTGTCCGCCAATGACACAGACCGAAACACTTAGACAGAAGCACAAGAGGGTCCAACTCGCTGAAAACCCCATGGCACCTCAATCGTCAGAGTAAGAGTCACACGGAGCTAGCAGGGCTTGCCTGGTAGTACCCGCGATCCAGATCCCTCCACTCTGCCAAAACTGCGTCACAGCTTCAGATCTCTGCACAAAAGCATTTCCTTGCATGCAACGTCCACCGAGTATGGAAGAAGAGAAAGAGAGAGAGCGGGCGAGCATATAGGCGGCCGAGACACGGGCTGACAGACTGAAGAGTTTCTGCATAGCTGAAATGGTTTCCAGCTTCGGGCCACCGATATTTGAGCTGCGCTGGCGACAAAAATGATATCATTCAACATAGACGCCAGTGTGTCCTGCGTAAAGATGATGACTTTCACCACATCGCCCACGCATACATCTTACATCAAGAAGGCCCTGGGGGACATATCACCGTCCTAGATGTGTTAGCTGACTGGCCAGGCTTTCTGTGTATAATCATTATTCGCGCACTAAGCATCTGCCGAGACTCGTTGGGTCCGTGTTATCAACCTATATCAAGATCTATCACCGTTGAATCTCACGCCAGGACGCGAAGTGGCAACGGTGCTCTCACCAACATACGAATATCATCTGCTCGACAAAGAGCTTCCAGTTTCTTGCCTGTTACAGTACAACCCACAGCAAAGCACAAAAACCTCCGATCTGTAGGTACTCTATTAATAACGGTGCCTACACTAGAGGCACAAAGTCGAGACCCATAGAGGCCCGTCGATCTTATCCAGCCGCCTTGGTCCCGGAGACGCACAAAAAAGAGACATTATCAAGCAGGTACTTACAACCATTCGGTCCTCCATGTACCTCCGACAGTGTTGGCTGAGACCGGAGCTCACTGTGCTTCCTCGACATGGGCCGGGGTCTTAGCCCGCACACCTTCACACGTTGCTGTTACGTCGGTGGAGCTCCAGGGTCGCAGACTGGAATTGGACGACGGGAAAACGCAATGATTCCTATCTGCAAGTCAATAGATGGAGGGGCTTGGCTACCCGCCCTCATTGTCCAACGGCGAATCGCTTGGGTGGGCTTCTTTGCCCTCCTCCAAGGAACCCTCGCAATAACCTCCTGTTAACGACATGTCATGCTGGGGGAGCCCGTCGGTGACTGGTATCCAGACTTGGGCAGGGCCCTCTGGCGCGCTTTCCGATGGAACTCGACATTGAACATATTATTCAGAATCTAGAGCTGTCGAAACTTTGTCGCAAGCTCGCTTACCACTCGACTCGCCCGACACGGGATACGAGATTGAAGGACCCCGTCGCTCTGCGTTGTACAGCCCACACTGTTGAAACGAATCTTGCTGCGACGATGAGAGAAAACGGCTGAGCAGTAGACGCCGGCGATGCCGCCAACATCTTGACAGCGCCCACGCTACGGATACGCTACCGCTACCGCCTCTGTTCACGGCGACGCCCGGACCGGTCAGGGCACAGCAGAGAGCCTAGCGATTTGGGGTATCAACGGCTTAACAAGCCACCCCTGTCCCACACCCTCGTCCGTTGTCCTTGTGACCTCTTCCGATACTTTGTCAGCTCAGGGATATGAGGTTCAACGCCGGCTTACCTGCTTAGGGAGACGGACATTTTATCCTTGGACGCAGCCAGCAATGCCATCTCATCCTTGGGCGTGGTGATACGTGCAGCTGTAGCACGCTTGACTTGAGAAGAAATTGTTTTAGCTACCCAGTGCCAGTCATCGACGGTTCCAAGTCCCATTTGCTTCAGGCATTCTGATAGCGTTGGCTTCCGTCACGGGATATCGTTGCTGGCATTCTATCTCAGACACGAGCCCCCCTCCAGCGCCAGGTCCAGGGCTTGTTGGAAGACGGTGAGCGTGGCCCGCAATAGCAACGAGGATCAGCGCGGTCACGATTTCTCACCGACGGCGCAAATAAGTGACGTCCCTTACGGTCTGCGTCAGGAACGAATACCAGCGGCCTGGGTGTCTTATTTCAGATGGCACACTTTACGGCTGGCTGACGACGATCGAAGTGCCAACGGATCCATCCATTACAGTCTAAATAAATTTCCTGATTGCATGCTGGGCTGTCCATCACCCGTCCTTGCTCCCTGTCCAACATCGATTGCTGCGAGTAGCTCAGCCCGCGCAATTGGCCCTTGTGCTCCCGATCTCAGGGCCTATGAACCGCGTCTTCGCATCAATACAAAATCTCGCGCGTTTCCGCGGCCCACGCTCGCCGACTTGGTATTCATTGAGAGAGAAGCGTCGTATATTTCAGCACGTACCATGCGCTTAGTATTTTCGGCAGAGTGTGGGGAATGGGGATTAGCTCTGCTCAGCACGGTGGAACGACTGCAAGGATTCAATGGTGTGGTGGTAGCCTGGTAGGTACTCACACAAGCTCTCGACGAATCCTCAGAACGTGCTTGCGGAGCTTCCGCCGGCGTAAGCACGAAAGCTTGCTCAACAGAGGATGTTTCTACATACAACTTTGCAAGCTTTCAAAGCTTAGGCTACGTTTGTCCTGCCACTATCAGAGCAACAAAAGAATACTGGATACCCCAGCGGTACAGTTACAATGCAAGGCAATTGAACCATGGCCATATCTCAATCGATCTCGGTACCAAACAAAGGTGACATGAGCGTAGGCGAAGGTCAACCGAAGTCTGCTTCTGCTGCTTGCTACTTGGGCCCAGTTTCATTGACAGAGACAGGCAATTAAAGACAGGTTGCTCCTGTATCCGTAGACAAGGCCGCATCGAATCAACCATCTGTACGACATAGCTTCGCGGCTCGGCACTGTCACCCTTCCCTCGACTGCAGATTCTCCAACTTTTCCCCAAATTACTCTAATCATCGAAGGGGGTATCGGGCTCTACCCTAGCCGCAGGTCAGAGTGCAACCCATCCTCGGCGACGAAGGATGGCCCCCTCCCCCTGAGTCAACGAGAACACTTGCGTTGGGAGTTGCAGAACAGTCCACTATGAACCATTGTTAGGATTGATAACTCGCCGGAACATGAGAAGCAAGTAAGCTACGGCTACTACTACAGTAAGGGTGCGTATCTCCAGTCGACTCTGGGTTGGCAGTCTTGGACCCAAGGCGTTCAGGCAATTGCAAAATGCAATGCACCAGGTGCGCCGAGATTCAGGGCCCATACATGGACAACGACAGATCACAGTTGTTGAAACATGAGCAGCCTTCTCATTCGTCTCACTCTCGACTGGCGTCCTCTGTCGATCCACACTGATGTTGGGCCACTCGGATTGGCCTGTCTTTCAAAATCAGTACCGTCTTTTTGAGGCTGTGCAAAAGAGCATCCGTCCATCCATCGGGCATCCATCCTTGAGCAGCTGGGCCTGTCGGCTTTTCCCTGGTTGAATGGCAGCCGATATGGAGACTGACTTTCTGCAGCTTCAACCGCTTCCGTTGCGCTTGTGTGCCCTTATTTCCGTCAGCCTATCATGTTGCCCTCGCCGGCTGTCTCAAGTGTAGAACGTTTCTCGAGAGCCGGTGACAAATCTGAGAGGAGGACCAGCGTTCCTGGACCACAAGCAGCCTCCCACCATCTTCCGCGTTCGACGAACCCTCCAGGGCAGCTTAGGCCACGCATACTTACTCCAAATCCGCTCACACTTTTCAGGACGGGATGGATGGGCCAGTGAGTTGGTGGGTAGAAGGAAGGGGAGAGCGAGAAGCATCAAGCCCCAAGCTGATCCAAGGTTGTCCCGGGCCAATCCAGCCATCGGAGACTCACACGGCACGGCAAGCGTCAAGCAACAGAGGATCCAGGCCAATGTGGTTCTCCAACCCGAGCCAGCCCGCCCAGCTACGCAAGCATCCAGCTACCCTAGCACACGCATGGCGTTCTCCAAATCAACCCCCAAGTCAACGGCTGGCGCAGCAATTCGCATCAACACCATCCAACTATGAGGGACCAAATAGCTCTTTCGACATTCCTCCCGTCGTGAGGTATTAGCCGGCCACCTCCCCCGATTATGAGCACCTGACACCCCTGGTATTAGCCCCGGCAGCGTGTCACCCCTGTCTACCCCAGATTTCTCCAGTTGTATTTTCCTGTTCATGGACCACCCAGGCTTAACAGGCATCTTCGGGAAGTTGGTCAGGGAGCAGGTTCAATCTTGTCTTCAATTTGCCGGTCAGTTCCTTTCCCTTGCAATTATTGCTCCAGTCATATGAGCCAATTGATATGATTATCACTCGGATCTGAGGATATGTCACCTCGGAACGACGCTGGGACTATGTAGAAATACATCCTGATAGTGCTAGCCATCCGGCAGACGTCAGTTGTTGCTTTTTTGTTGTTGTTTTTTTTTTGGCTCCGTCAACTTTTGGATGTCGTATTGGACTAGTTGGTCCTGTCTAAACCCTGAAGACAACGACTCTACGTGAAGTCGACGCCGCTCGTCTGCATAAGGTACTATTCGAGATGCACCTGCTAGAGCCCAGACACCAGAGGCCCAAAGGTGTATGCCGGCGGCATTCGCTGGGCATATTCGTGACGTAGGTGCTCCGGGTTCGCCCCGGACCCATGGCTCTAGCATCGATTTGAAGGTCGCAGTTCTGTTTCGCCATTGAGGTTTGTCAGGGCTTATCCATCTAATCATAGAGCTAGGCGACGGGGAATTAACGAAACCAAGATACGCGTTTCGTCAGGGCTAAACAACTCTTTTTCTGGTTCATCGGTACGCCAAGTGAGGATTGCAATGCGCACTTGAAGCGTTCAATCAATCGATTTAGCCTGCTTCGCCGCGAATGATCAAGACGAGGTGTCGCACCAACGCCGTGCCAGACTGCCTGCCACCCACCATAAGCTCTCATGTACGGAAAGAATCTATGGGATATTCCGTTCTTAGACCTGTGTGATTAGTATTATAAATCCGAAATCTGGAGCTGGGGGACCTCTGCTGGCGGACGTTGATGGAGCTCTGTTGAGTTGGCTTGCCGTCCTTTCCGAAATCCACAGGAGGTGAGATGCAGTCGCCGAGGTATCTGTATGCCGCGTCTGTCACAATCCGTACTACACTGGGCGGGCGACCGTCCATGATCTAATTAGCTGCAACAGACGGCTGGCATTACTGGGAGCTCAGGGCTGGCCTCAACAAATAGGAAGAAAGTTGTCGATGCTCTCGGGAATAAGTCTGGCATCCGATGACCGTTGCTTATCCGATGGAGGAATCGACTTGGCTCATCGTCACAACTTCATGCACACTATCCGAACACGCACATATACATACCACCACACCACCTTCTGCTGCTGCTTCTTCTAGGTACCTTAACATACCCAGCAATTTGGTCTCATCGTAGGCGTCACCAACCACATGGCAGCCTGTCGCCTATCCGGCTGTGCTTGCGTCACTGCGCGTACAATGAAGTGACGCTGGAAACCTCGATTGAGCTTGATGCTACCTTCGTCACAGCTTTCTGTAGGATCGTCTACAATCAGCAAGAGCGGAAACTCTGTGAATATTTGCAGTTTAATACGGATCCCCGCTGAGCTGTCATTGCCACACCAAAGTACTTCGGTTACAGAAAAGCAGTTCGTAAACCAGTCTTCGCTTTTTTGCCACGGCTACGTTGATTGGGTCTCTGCTGCCACTTCGCTTTTACTTGGGCCAAACCCGTTCGTGGCTCCGTTGCGTTGTGCCTATTGTTGGCCCACACACCCACTCACAAATAACATGCAGACTCTGGAACTACGCCAATCCATCGTTCCATGTCGCGGAGAATTCTTCTTTGCTGCTGCTAGTCAGCGTCGCTAGACAGAGAATGGGCCTGTGTCGTGCAGAGAAGGGAAATGAATTTTGAGTCTCTCGAACGTCGCTGGCCAAGGTCGGGCGTATGGAACTGCTTGGGAGTCGCCACTGGTCCAAAATTCCCGCGCCATTTGCCTTTGGTCCAAGGTCATCGTCATTGGTGGCCTTGAGCAGATGCAAACTGCCGTTCCTGGACTCGGTCGGCTCTCAACGTCGGCTTGGACCACGCCACCTTGACTCACGGTGGGCGGTCTTTGTTCTGGTCCCTTGAGGTTCCTACGGGAAACGCTTTCTTTCAGGGGACTGACGATATCCCGTAGACTAGCAAGCGCCCGTCGCCAATTTACCCAGTCACACACTCGCAATACCGTTCTTCAGCTTTAACGATAGACGAACAGGCGCCACAGCTTTGCGTGGAGCTATATACTTAGTCCCAAGCCTGAGTCGTCACGCTCCCTGTTCACCAGCCTCCAAAAACCACAACGGCCGTCCCTCATCTTCAGGTTCGGGGGCTGGTGTGGCTCTTCGCAGAACATTCGCTATGCTTTGAACCGAGTTGACGGCCGCACTACGGGAGGGATGTGGCGACGCCGGGCCACGCTACCAGCCCGTGAGTGTGTTCACCGGCCGCCCTTCGGTCTGTCGATCGGCGCCGATCATTCTGCATCACGGAGTAGTTTCTTGGAAAGAAAGAAAAAACGAGTATGTTCGGCGGCACGGCGTTAACTCGGGTGCGGTGGGTGGCTACGTGCAATATCAGGCTCTTCAGACGACGTGCAGTACCTGTTATTTCCTGTATGCAGTCCTGACAGTTTGCGGCATGGTCGAAATCCACCAGCGTGTGGCGCAAGCGAGAAGCGAGAGCGGGTTGGCATTTGATTCCTTCTGGTGTCTTCCAAGCTAGGGTCCTTGTGTTCTCTCGGGTTGATCTCTGCATCTTTTGGGGGTTGCAAGGTGATCTTCGGAGGTTATCGGCAGTTGGAGGGACATGGAAGGGTTCGACAATCTGTTGGAATGGCCTGGCCACCCGCTGATCGCTATCGCGATCGTCCGTTTGTCCGCGCTCAGAGATGGTTCAACGGTCGTTGGTGGTCGCGCTGCCATGGCGAGTGCTGTGACGCCGCAACGTCATCAACGTTTCTGGAGGGACTTTGTTCTGATTGATATAACGTTATTACGGCATTGCCATTCCGAGAGTTTCTTGTATGATCGAAGGATGGCTTCGCATTTGCCACGACCCTCTCGACATGGTGAGATTCAATTCCCAATTGCACGTTCAGAGGTGGTCGGTAGCACAAGTATATTATTTCGAGACTATATGGGGAATAGCCACTGCCGAAGACGAAGCATCTTCTGAGAGCATAAGATATCTGAAGACTAAGCATCGAAATCCATTGAAGTTCACCGGTACTGCTCGAGTCTTTCACGTATGCCTTGCTGTAGATTAACGCGTGAATCATGATGATGCGAGGCCCAACTCATGCATTATCACGTTCTTTCGAAGGTACGAGTATCTGTCGATGTGATGAAGAAGAGAACCAATTGGGTATTATTATGAGCAATCATCAAGACGGAGCTCAGCTTCTAAACATGATGATGCCAGGCTCCTGAAAGCATACTACTACCATGAGATGCCGGCATCGTAAAATCCTCTCGAGGAACCGTAGAAACGAACCGTCCAAAGATACCGCCACCAATTCATCAAGGCATCAATCCGCACAGCCCCCCATCGTGAATCATCCCCCTCGATATTATCAGCCGTCTTACGACTGATCAATATCCATTTCATCAACATCGGCAGCAGCGGATTCGTCGAAGCCAATGGCCGCCAGTTTCTTCTTGACGTTCTGTTGCGATCTCATTTCCTACGTAATGGGACAGTGATGAGCAAAAGTGAAGCCATCGACGTGCAATATAATTACTTGTGCCGAGAGGAGGTTTGGACAACTTTACTTACCTCTTCTACCGTGTTCTTGATCACGTATCTCGTGACGAGCACTGTTTTACCCTGGCCGAAGCGGATCGCGCGGGCGATAGCTTGGTTTTCGACACTAGGGTTCCATTGGAGTTCGACGATGAAGACGCGGTTGGCGCAAGTAAGGTTGAGACTGGTGAAGTGTGTCTCGTTAGTATGTATTGTTTGTTTAAGATGCGAGAGAACGGATGGCGGTGAACTAACCCAAAGGCACCAGTGCCGGTTGTCATGATGAGAACCCGCTTCTCCTCATCCTCTGCAAACTGTCCGAGGATTTCCTGTCTTTGTGACAAGGGACAGTCGCCGTCGATCCTGTGGTACTTGACACCGACCTTTTCGAGGTGTTTCGCGACAAGGCGGAGCGTTCTCGTCCAGCAAGAGAAGATGATGCTGTTTCCGAAGGGAATTAGTGATGTTCGAAACAAGAGTGACAGGCTAGGCTCTTCACAGGCCGGACCCTTCACAAGTGACTTACCTCTTGGTTGTCGAGACGTCGACTTGGACGTCACGGATCAAGGCCTCCATCTTGGTGGAGTATCCCACCGTGTTAAAGTAATCCGCATCATCCGCGCCTGACGTCGTTTGTGCGGAAGCGTCAGGAAGACTCCTGGCATCCAACGCAGGCCCATCTACTCTCACGTGCGGAATCGTACCGAGACCAGTAGAAGAAATCTTGGCCGACTTTTTCCAGTTATCGCACACGGGGCAATGCCGCTCCCGAGAGGCAGAGGCTAGGTTCGCCGACGACGACAGATCCGAGTCGTCGAGACACTCTGAGCAAAACACGTGCGGGCATTGCTTCTCGGACGCGTTGCGCAGCCTGTTGAAGCCAAGGATGGGCATGGGCTGGTGACATCCGTTGCACGTCAACTCTGCGTTCTGCCCCAACGCCGAGACGGCGGCCTCGCGCTCGTCGAGATCGAGGCGGTAGCTCCGCCGGTGCCAGGAAAAGGGCTTCTGGAAGGTGCCGTGGTTGCAGAGGATACGCATCTGGAGGTTGGCCTGGAAGAGGCCGAACTTGCTGCTCTTTTCGACCTCGCCTACCTTTTGCTTGATGGTGCGCATGAGGATCTTCTTGGTCTTGTCGTACTGGTCGCGCTCCTCGGGGCTGAACTCGAGTGGGACGACGCGTTCCTCGAGGGGAGGAAGGTCGAGCACTTCTTTGGTTCGGCGCAGGCACAGTGATTCCATGAGGGCGATGAGGCGCTCCTTGACCTTTTCTCGGTT